TAACCATGATTAGTCTTTAATAAAACAAAACAAGAGCAGGGGAAGGAGAGCAACCTGTGACTTTCAGGCAGACTGAGCACCCACTGACAGCAACGCCCGCCTTTGGCCAGGGTGCTGCTGCCTTTCAGCCCCTTCCTCCTACATGCCCAGTTGCCTTTGCAATATCCATTTAAAAAAAAAAAAATTGCGCTGTTTCAGAATGGGTAGTTTCGTCTTGTCAGGTAGGAGTAAGTGTTAGTCTTAAGGATCTTTACCTGCTCCCCCCCAACCTCTGCACAGTATGCACTCCTTGTTTGCCTGCTGGTCTTCTCCCTCGAAGCCAAGGGAAGTGAGAAAACATGGGAAGTGCAGAAAAAAGCACTCAGGCCTGTGACCTAAAGGAGATCTAAGCCTCTCTGTTGTGATCTGAGGACTTTATCATGAAGAGGCAGGTTGAGGAGGACTCTGCCATGCACATCAACAAGCCTTGGAGGCCATGGCACCGATTGTCCTTCCAGCTCTTTCTGCCAGGCTTTGAAACCCCACCATGCTCACCAGGGTGGTTTCCATTCCTCTGGAGTTAGCCATGTGTCAAAGACATCACCTCTAAACGTTTCAGCTTGATTTCTGCATTCTTGGACTTAAGCTGTGACCTAAGCAGAAAGACTAAAGGGCCCTTACCATGGTATGGTCTGGGATTTTTAATTTTTGGTGTGTCTGTGGTATGCACCTGCTCTCCCATTAGGGCTTCTTTCATAAGCAATTCGGTGTGCCTTTGCAACCCAACCCAAATGAAAGCACAGCCAACATTAGCAGCTGTTTGATGCTAACTCCTGGCAACACAGGGACAACCCTCCCTGCATTTTCAGGGTCTGGATGTTACAATCCAGCGTGTGGCTGGTTTACAAATCTTCTTTTATTGCACAACCCTATTGGCCACTACAGCCTGGATCAGCAGGTTACTTGGCTTGCCTAGATTAAACTCTTGAGCCAGAACATTTTGTAATTATGCCCCTCAGCTACAACTCTCTGGCATTCCCAATCTGTGTTGTTTAAAACAAAGCTGTTTCTTATGTTCTTTAATTTCCTGTACCAGTGCCAGCTTACAATGGTGATTACAGACTGATGGATAGGTAGGTAGACTGATGCTTTTAACTTTTCTGAATCAATGACACTAATTTTATTGTGATCAATTGAACAGCATCCTGTGAGGCTCCTGTGGAGGATGTTATATTTATGTAGCTTCTTGTTGTTGCCCATCCCTGTGCATCAGAGGAGAGTGCAATCCTGTGAAATGCTTCCCCGAGGTAAAAGAAGCTAAAGGGTTTGCTAAAAAATCTGAAGGGGAAGGCTTAATATTATACATCGAAGACACTTCAGCAAAATCTTGAGACTCCTTAAAAAAATCTTCAGGGGAAATGGTGTCACTTGCAGAAAAATATTCTCATGTGAGAGTCTTACACCTAAATGTCTGTAGAGTGTTTTTCTGGAAAGCAGCATTTTGTTTTCCTCTCAGTGTTTTTAGCGCTTTCCCATACCCCATGGCTTATCGCTTCTGTCGGCTACAAAAGAGGGTGAGCAAGAATAAGGAGTTGAAAAGTAGGATATTTTGTCTCAAGTGTCTGGTTCCCATAAGGAGGATGAGACCTAATATTAATAGCATCTTTGAGCTGGAGTTCATGCTTTTCGTGCTGAAGACACCGCATTTGATTGCTCTTACACCTGAACATAGTATTAGAGAATGGTGTACACTCACTGCGGAGTCAGACAGATCTTTTCACATCAGCAATCTACTGCTGAATGGAAAAGGTTTGAGACACATAAAGAAACATGAAAAAAATATTATATTATAAACAGAATATATTCATCTGAGGTGCCATTGCTCACTTTCAGAGTCAGAGGAGTTGCAACTCCATGTCCTAGGGCTTTCCAAGCAGTTGTGGTAAAGTGCTTTGAGCAGTTGTTCTAATGTTCTTCTGCATGAAAACAGAGCTTCCCCAGGAAGCAACATTGGCGGTGAACCTAAGAGTGACTTTGTAGCCTCTTATCTCATGGTGCTGAGAGGTTCCTATGAAAATACATCCCAGTGCCATGCTCCTAGAACCTCCTTTCTTTCAGACTCTCTTGTTCAAAGTGGTGAAGAGATTGAGGAAAGTCTGTCTCTCTTTCTCATATAGAAAATTAATGGCAAAACTTCCTTTTTTCCTAAGATCTTAGACAACTTATTCTAGATGAAACCTAATTTCCAACTGCCTGCCCTGCCTAGGCTTAAGTTCACCTTTACAGTTATCACCACCACATTCCTCACAGTTGTATTCAGATTTTTTAGCCATTAGTAATAACATTAAAATATGAGTGATAAGACCAGCTCAATGGAGCCACTTGGGACTGGTCTTTTCATGGAAAACTAGGGAAGGTCTGTCCACCTCTGGACACGATCACTGAGTTTCCAGCCCAGCACAGTGTGCAACTGCAGTCATTTTCTCATGGCAAAAGGAATGAGCCTTACAAAAATTTTCATGTCCTGTCTGGACGCCATGTCTCAGCACAAGCAAGCAGAAAAGGTTTCCTTCTCAGGAACCCAGAGAATCCATTTCTCAAAGCTCTTGAACAGTGTCAGCAGCATGTCTCAGGCACTGAAGGCTGTCTGCAACAGCAGATCATAGCCAGAAATCTCATGCCCCTATGGCAGAGCGTGACAGCAGATGCTGCCTGTGGGAAAGAGGAGATTTAGTGAAAAGGCTACCTCAAGAAAGGACATGGATATACAAGAGAGATTCAGTGTGCATCTGCATATTTTAGGGGGAAAAGACTGAGATTTCTGCATTTTATTCTCTTCTAACTCAGTAATATTACGGTAATTGTTATTCAAATGTGGCTCTTAACAGGAAACAATAGGTGGTCAAAGTAGGAAAGATCTAGAAGGATGCATTTCTAGACTGGCAGGGAAAAAAATTAGAAGTGTCTCTTTTTCTTTCTTTGTGAGATACATTTACTATTATCTAAATTCTCAACTGGTATAAACTAACTTTGCTCTACCCAAGGTGACGGAATCACTTATCATCTTCTCACTTGTGTGTTACATTTAATTCATTAAACATCAACTGTCCTCTTTCATTTTTATTGCTTTTTCTGAAGACCACTGTCAACAAGGATACGCACACATTTTGCAATGCTTCAGCACTCCTTTTTTCAGCGTTCAAAGTAGACTTACTTAAAAATGTGCGCTTGACTAATGATATTAAATTAAGCTTCTTAATGTGTTATTTAATGTCGAATGTTGGTGGCTGACACCATAGATTTGTATAACTTCAAAACCTATAGCAATGTAGTCTCATCTCGACGTGCAATACAGAGTTGCTATCCTGTGCTGTAGAGATTTGATTTACATCAGTATAAAACTGATACTTAAAAAAAAAAAATAATCCTTGCTTTTCATACTGAGACATATTCTCAGGAGTAAATTTATTCTTTGGGTGGCATTTAAAAAATTACTTTTATTTATTTTACTGCTTTGCATTTCAATTTGTGGCAATATTCTGCTTTGGTAAAATATAGCAGTGATTTAAACAATCTGTTTTTTTCTGGAGGAAAAAAAATGTTAAAAGCTGTACACATTGGACATGCTCTACATGACTGGTGACGTGTCTAAAATGGCTGGATATTACGATAATGATCCTATCCGAAGGCAGTTCAGAAAACCTTGATTCCTCCATCTGACAGGCAGAACATCAAGCTCACCATCTGCCAGGACAGAGGGTATTGCTCTGTTATCAAAACACTGCCTGGAAGTTGGTCTCCCTCAATGTCTCTGATCTCTGACAAAGTGCTTTTACAATCTCTCTTGTTCCAACCATCCCTAGTTATGTCAGCCAGAATTTGCACCGAATCATACCAGGTTCATCTCTATCTGAAACATATGGAGAACAGAGAGAGCTGGCATTACTGCAAGTTCTGCTGAGATCTGCTTCTCCAGATAGTTAGATGGCTCCTACCTAACAAATTCCCAAATACTGTAAGGCTCCAGGACACTGGCAACATCCTTGATCGCGTATTCTCTTCCAGTGGTACATACAGCAGTAAGCCTTTACATATTGCTCTATGTCTTCATTTTCTGATGGGGTGTATCTTATGTTTGGAAAGGGGCTTGTGATATGCAAGAGGTGTGGGGTCTTTTGAGTAATCATATTGCATTGTTCTGGGAGAGAGGGTGGTTCCTTGTCCCGGGATCTCTTCTACCTTGTGTTTCACTTGATGGTGCAATTCAGTACTTACATAGTACCACTGAGAGCATTCTTTTTCTCTTGTGGCGTACAGGGCTAGAAAATGACTGTAAAGAGTCTCAAAGTTTAATGAGAGCCAGTGAAATTCATGCTCTCTGCTTGCCATTTAATACATGAATCTGCAAGACACAAGGAAAATATTTTCCTGGCATAAACACAAAAAAAATGTCATGACCCCAGACTACAGCAGTGAGTGGAACAAAGGGCTGAGTTTCTGAGATTAAAGATTTAGTCCTTGCAGGGGGTGAGTGCAAGGTCAGGCATAGTAAGCAATAGGGAAGGTGCTCAGATGGCACGCGCTGATGTCATCCCACCGGTGTCAGACTATGTAACCAGAAAAGGGGGTTCACTGTCACAGTATTACTCACAGCTGTATCAGGAAATACCAAGTTTATGATTCTTATTTAGGAATAAGTGCCAAGAGAAGTCATATTTAAGCACTAAAGTCCTGCTTAGGCACCTAATTCCTGTCTGTTCCAAACATCTGAAATGCTAGGCACTCATTCGCCATTGCAGCTCGAGCTATGGTTACCCTTTCCCAGTTTAGCCTTTCAAAGTAAAAAATAAGATTGCAAAGATCTTTGGTATTGTGATGTTAGCATCCTCCTGTTTCCTGAATTTACCTTTGAGGATCTGTGCCCTTAATCAGGAGCATTCTATATCTTCCCTCGGAAATCGATTTCTCCATCCTGAGGCCATCTATGATGCATTTCATGTATTGTATTTCATGTTTTGCAGCACGTGCCCTGAGGGATATATATGTCTGAAGGCCGGGGAAAATCCTGACCATGGTTACACAAGCTTTGATACTTTTGGCTGGGCCTTTCTCTCTTTGTTCCGTCTTATGACTCAAGATTATTGGGAACGTCTTTATCAACAGGTATGAGATTGGTTTATTACTGTTAAAAATATAAAATAAATACATCATCTTGTTACATTTACATATCCAATAATTAAAGACAAGAAAGAATTGCTGGTTGTTAGGTAAACTGTCCTTGGTGTGTTGTGGACAAGGACCAGCAATTGTTACAATTCATTTCGTTTCTTGGGAGTGATGATGCCAGAAAATATTAGGCTGGGTGTTTGGGGAAAAGGGAGAGAATCAATACAGAGAGAAAGATGTTTTGAATGGGTAATTCACCTGATTCTAAATGAAATTCACCACTTAAGAAAGATCGCTACCTCACCACTTAATGATTTTTTTGGTGGCTGATGTAAAATGAACTAATCTTTTGAGGCCAGCTCAAAAAAGGACTAGAGAAGCACATGTGTACTTGGCATATCTGGTTTTGAAAGGCATGGCAATGAACACAAATTCACTGGATGATAAGACTACCTGGTACCCTTCAGCTCTGCCTGCTGCAAACGTTTCATCAAGGACAACTTACAGTCAGCTTACAGTCATGCGTGCAAGGTGGTCTGCTAGTAAACGCGCATTTTAGCATGCACGCCCTGAAAGGTATAGAAACTCTGAAGAACTGCATCTGATAGTTTGGTACTGAATTATATACCCTGTCCATGAAGCCACCGAAGGTTTACTTCTGCATCTCAAAACTGCCCAAACTGAAGCATATTCGTAAGGAAATCAAAGGAGTTAGTGCTGATAGTTCTGAAGGTACTGAGGCGGACGTCTTTAAAGATACTGAGGATTTCAGCTTCACATGCAGCCGGTTATACAATTTCATTTCACGAAAATGTAAAGCGATTAAATTGAAGATTCTTTAAACAACTATATTTGCTTACTTGGCACAGAGCTGCACGTATAACTCTGGAAGGCTGAAACTGTCACGGCGAATAAGGGTGAACATCACTCCCTTTTATTATTTGACCTTATAATATCACACAGTGGTTTCCATCACTACCATCAAGTCATTGACCATGGGACATAAATGTAATATACGTAAAAGCCGGTTACCCTAAACTCCAGTTGTGCCTATAAATACGATGGAGAACCAGGCAATACAGTCAACGGTGCCCAAAGTTTGGTGGTTCTTATCCTGAGGCAGGTATCTAAATAACATTCTGATGAGTTTCACCCTAAAAATGTCTTTTTCTCCCCACTGACTGTAAAGGACCTAGACCGTAGACATCTGAAGGAATACAACATGAATCCCCCTTGGAAAGATTCTATGCACTGCACAAAAATAGATTGAGCTTATGTGGGGGAATCTTTCACTGCAGCTGATTATAAGATTATCTATTCTCAAAGAAAAACAGCAGAGTTATTTGGTAAAGGAGGAAAGCATTCTTCTTTTAAAAATGAATTCCACTGCAAGGCACAAAATTTTTGAATAAGGTATAAAAATTAATTGGTGAGGAGGTTATTTCCTTGCGCGTGGTTGTTTTTTGTCGTCAGAAGGTGTCTGTTTGGGCTAGTAACAAAGGCTGAATTCAATTACATTGTAAATCTAAGTTTTAAAAAAAAAATCTTTTTTTTTTTTCTTTTAAAATACATTGTAAACAAGTGTTGGTGATTTTATTCTTGTGCTTACAGACTCTCAGATCTGCTGGGAAGATCTACATGCTTTTTTTTATGCTGGTCATCTTTCTGGGCTCATTTTATCTGGTCAACCTGATTCTGGCTGTTGTGGCCATGGCGTATGAAGAGCAGAACCAAGCCACTATTGCTGAAACAGAGGAGAAGGAAAGAAAGTTTCGGGAAGCCATGGAGATGTTAAAGAAAGAGCAGGAGGTCAGTAAACTATGTGACATGATTAGCCTTGGGTAACTTGAACAGATGGTACCTTGGGATTCACATTCTCTTTATTTTACATTTCTGTGATAACTGAAGTAAGAGTTTGCTTGAAAGCAGCTTAATGTTTATTGTCTTGGACAAAGTTACTACAATCCTTTCTAAAAGAAAAAGCTCTTCCTGCTAGGATTGGGGCCATTTAGGGTTTATATATTTGAGTTGTATTGGTTAACTGTACCACTTATGTCAGCAAAGGAATTTATATTGATTGGCATATAAGACATTTTAATGATGGTATAACTACATCTGCATCTGAGCACAGAACAGCTGTTTTGGCAGCTCAGCCATAGCCCCAGCTGAACCTTCTTCCACCATCACTTTAGCTCGTGTTCATTTCTTCACTGTCGCATTCAAACTGCCATGAACATCCAACTGTCCGATAATGAAGTTAAAGGTGTAGGATAACCTGTTTGAAGCACGTACGACTCCATTCCTGAAAAAGAAAACAGGCAGATCTTGAGGTTAAGCTTTGCAAATTATGCCAAGGATATGGATTTAATGTTATGTCATCCCCTTAAACAAAACAGGGAGGCCAAGTGGTGGATGTAGCCATATAGCCTTAATAGCACTAGTTAATTTGCCTGTGGTTTGTGTGGGGTAGAAAGCCTTTATTAAACAGCTGAAGAGAACATTTTAGGTGCTGTGAACAAGAAGACAATAAGAAAATTAGTCTGAAATAACACGCAGCACTGTAGTTCAGAGAAATAAATCCTTGATACACAATATAAACTAATATACATAATTTTCTTTTGGGTACATATGGCTTCAGGGCCTAATCCAAACCCCATTTAAATCCTTGAAAAGAAAACAGAAAATGCAATTCACCCTTGACAAAGTGCTAGTAGAGGCTTATATATCATTTAAGTCTTTTTAAAGATCCTCTCCGATGGTTTAAGTAATAGGTAAATGCAATTTAGTCCACATACAGGCACTTTGAACAGAGTAACTTTCTGCCATAACCTAAGGGAGCAAACTGAGCTCCAACTCGTGCCTATTTTATACAAATTTTCATGTGTTTTGACTCCAGCTGAGCTCTTCCTAATAACAGTCAACTTTGTTAGCCCAGCTATAATTAACGATATTTAAGAATTTCTTTTTGAAGGCTTTGATTTCAGTTAAGCCTGTATGTACACAAAAAGGGAACGTTAAGTCGTGAAAGTCAGAATGTGTCAAAATGAAGGTTGATCGTGAAAACCTAAATTGTTCCCCTTTAGCTACATGCTTTACAACATAGTCTTTTCTTCAGCTGACTGCATCGCGTTTTTCCTGTGCCCTGCTCAGTACAAAGGGTGGACAGTGCATGACTCAAGAGCAGCTCTTTGCTTTTTCATCATTTGTTCCGTAGCCTTAGGCCACCTCAAGCAGACTTCCCGACTCAGGCATTCAAAGCCTGCTTCAAAGACAAAATGACTAACATCCTCAGAGGTTTTTCAGTGCCTCTTGTCACTGCTCAGATTCTGTGTGCTTCAAAAATACTCATTTGTATTTGCAGCGCTCCTGGAGAATTGTCCCAATTTTACGGAAAGGAAACTTAGAAGTAGAGCAACTGGGGTCCATCAAGTTCATTAGGGAAGCTCAGTACTTCTGCAGATCAGCCCCCAACATCTCAAATTAGAGATCTGGAAGAAGAGGCTCAGGAAAGTGATTTGGGTGGTCTGCTGCACCATGTAGCTTTCAGATGTCCTTCTCAGGTGTCTCACCCCAATCAGAGATATTCAGTCTTAATCTTGCTCTTCAAGCCTTTATCAAATTATTGGTTTTGACTTTCTCACTGTACCACTAAGTTCTTGGCTTCAGGCAAGAGTCCTAGAGGCAGGACTTAACATAGGATAGTCTAGAGATAGAACTGCATAATCCCCATGTCAGGGCTTGTGTGAGCTAAGCTTTCTTCCCATCCTTCAGCCACCACCCGTCCTTGCCAGACATGCCTGGTCCCAAACTCCTGCCCTGCCCTGGGAGTTACCACAGTAGGTTATGGCTTGCAGTGCCTGAGGGGCAGGGCACAGTCCAGACATGGGAGCTCAATCAGAAAGGGTAGAAAGACAGCACATGGGGACATCATCCATGCCCTGAGAAACAATTTGGTCAGAATCCTTTTTCAACAACTGCAAAGGTAGAGAGGACAGAAGCATTTCAACCCAAGCAATAGGTAAGAAAATGCTAAGAAACTGAAAATGAGCTTATTTTGCAGTCAGGGTACAGCATGCTTAGTAGCACAACCTACAATATTTTCTAGATCAATAAAATATGAAGGCAGTCAGAAAGGAAAACCCAAACTCTTTACACCAGCTTTTACACGGTGCAGTATAAAGAGAGCACGAATATAATTGATAGGCCTGCTTGGGGACTATCAGTCAATTTACACAATTGGTCTAACACATTCCTAAACCTGAACTTAACACCAAAAGACTTGCTGAATCTTTATGAAGAGAAAGCACTTCAGCATAGCAATTAAATCAATTGACTCGGGGAAAAAAAAAAAAAAGAACAGCCGAGACCGGTGTCTGAGCCCTCCTCCTCTCTGCTCTAAGCAGCTTGCTCATGAAAGATATTTCCCACAGGAATTAAGTTTTGTTGTGCTCTCAGCTTGATAGAGCTACCGCTGCTCCTTGAAATACATGATTGATTCTTTACACAACTGTTAAGTGCCTTCACTTTCCTTGGACTGATGCCTGTGGGAGGAAGGGAGTATTTTGCTGCGGAGAGCTGATTGCCTGTTTGATTCTAGTGGCTTACAGACAATAGCACTGAGGATTCATCCATTTCTCCTGTTCTTGGGAACCTGGAGAGGTGCTTTCCCCCCCTCCCCAATAATCCACTTGCTTTATGTATTTCAGCTGGGGGCTCTGCAAATGGGCTTGTCTCCAGGCCACTGATGTGGTTACTGCTGAGATGCTGGCACCTCCAAACCTGACCTCATGCTTTGTGCTCACAACCTCCTTGTTCCTCCCACCCGTACCAGGGATGGGGACCAAGTGCAGTGGCGTAGGCTGTGGCTTCCTCCCTGCACCTATCGATTCTTCCTCCCGGATGCTCATTTGCTGCCGAGGCTGTGGCGTTCTGTGCTCAGGCTTTCACATTCAGCTTCTGCTGGGTTTCTAGTGGTTGGGCTGTTATCATTCAGCTCCTGCAGCGATCCCACCAGATAGCCAGCACAGCACTGAAGCACACGGTGAAGTAAAGTCCACCTTATCTCCAGTTAAGCCCATGGGTTTTCTCTTTGCAACTCATCATAGCTGCCTGCTCTGCTGCCTGGGATAAGTGTTTACAAAAACGTGCCAGCTGACTTGCCTGCTGCTCCTAGCATCCCTCTGTGACCGAGGAGGAAAAATCCCGGCAGCCAGCTTGGCTGCCCTCCTGTCCAACCCTTCCAGTTTAAGGGGCTGAAGTCCAGGGTGGGGCTTAATCTGAGGTTCCCCAGCTTGAGATTTTTTTGACTGGCACCAGAAGTGTTACTCCGGAGATGTGTGCCCAGTCTATACCTGCAGGAGTGGGCACGCAGGCGGTTCCTCTCATGAAATGTCAAAGGATCTTGTGTGAGCTCTACATAGCTCACATTATTTTATGCAGCCATTCCAAATGCTCTATCATAGGATCTGGGTGGCGGACCTGTGTGTGTGCATTTGTACTAGGAACCTGTCTCACTTGTTGTTTATTTTCCTATGGCTCAATGTAGAGGTTAGAAGTAGGTTAAGACCAGTTGCAGCCATGTGAGATAGTTTTATGACTAATGACCACCTGAAAATTTTAATTTATCTCCTACACAGCCTTAAAAATTAAAATGAAAAATAATTGCTGAGCAGAGTAATTATTAGTTCTCACTAAGATCCTTAAATAACAAATTGCACACATTCTACCATCTTCTCTTCTAGGCATTAGCTGCTAAAGGAATTGATTCAATGTCACTTAGTTCATTGGAAATGTCACCTTTAGCGTCCAAAAATGCCAAGGAAAGAAGAAACAGGCGAAAGAAGAAGAAATCTTCGGGGGCAGAAGAGTATGGGGAAGACCAAAGGAATCCCAAGTGTGACTATGATGATGGTCAGAGGAGAATGGTAAGCTATGGTCTGAAACGTCGCCTATTTCACACTGCATTTTGCTGGATAGGCCAGGCTCTGAATAGGCAATTAAAGCTGAAACTTTCAGCTGTAAAGAATAATCAGATATTTAATATCATAACTGACTTGCAGACAGTCTGTGTTAGAACAGTGGAAGGAAACATATCGCCACTTTATTTTCAAAATTAATTAAAAATGACCATTAAACATTCCTACAAATCTATTTTGTTTCAATTTTTTTCTCCTTTTTTTTTTGCTTCAAGATTACCCACAGTCTGGTTTATTTTCTTACTTTAATTTCATTCATCTGATTATATCTATCCTACCCCTACTAGAGATAAAAAATTCTTAGAAGAAACCTGCAAAGCTTAAAAAGAAGAGAGAGTAGGAAAAAAAGGAGGAAACTTGTCTCTGAGGGCTTTTTAAATGCTATACAAAGATGTTATTAACATTTTTATATTCCTTTGCTAGTTGCCTTCAATTCACAACTTGATTCTACTTCCTATTGCAGGGAAAAATAATAGAGTGAGACTGTTGTTAAATAGGATTTTATATAAGTGTTACTGACATGCATGAATATGAATTTGCACACGCTGTATGTATCAAATGATCATGAATAGCTTCAGATAATTTGTCTTTGCTTAACTGGGGGCAAAGTTTAAATCAGTTTATTTTGGTTTTTTGAATAGCCATGTAATGGGCTAAGTCTTTTTGTATTTTGTTGCCAGTGAATTTAGGGATATTTGGCAGCCATAAAAAGCTCATAGAAAACATGTAAGTGATGTAAGTCAATGTGACCAGTTAATGACTCCCCAGCTCACAAAATTTACACCGAGCTGGATTTCTGTAAATGACATGCGTTTACCAATCGAAGAGTTTTTGTTGTTGTCTCATTGGTTGAGTGGGTTTCATTACAAATTACACCTTTGTTAAAGCTAAAATTGCTCTTTGACTTCATTCTGGATGGGTTTCAAGACACCATGTACCAGAATGACCGTGGATTGGAGCTGTGCATTGCCAGTGTTTTACTTAGATTAATATTTCTTGTTTTCACTTTTCGCCCCTGGATGTCGTACGCATGAGAAACATGGGAGACACATTTCAAAGCTTATAGTAAATCTTCTCTGCAAGGCACATCTGGCATGGTTGGAGGGAGTAAGGCTGAGTCATCATTCAGATGCAATCTGAGCAGCTGGAAGTGTGTTGCCATCAGAAATCAGTCTCAATGACTGTGCCATGGAAACCCAGGCATGGATTTCTGACCAGTTAAAATTTGGTAGCAATGCAAAGGGGTTGTTTTTAGTTAGAAGGGGCCTGGGTTTTGTATTCTTCCTTGTGCCAGTCTCACAAAATAGCATCATTATGCAACTCAGTGGTGTGAGCTACAGTGCGAAATGGAATCAGGCTTCATTTGGTTTGTCTGGTTTGAGGATGCTGTGGAGATCTGACCTCTCTTCCTATATACTTGGCTCATGAGAAAGTTCTGAAGAAGCTGAAAATTCTGTACAGGCCATAAAATCAAAAGTATGTTCTGGCTAAATGTTCTTATTCCAATAATTTCCTCTTCAGACATGAGGGAAGGGGATAGACTTGAATCCCTTATGCGTTTTCTGAACATCCTTTTTGCTCTGCCAGGGTTTAGGTGTGTTTAGTGCTTGGCTACGTCTTGCTGATGCTCTGTCAGAGTCGCACTCTCACTAGCTGACGTCAGAGTGGATCATCAAGGCTGATGATATTTGGGTGTGAGGGAGACTGCTTTGTACTGAGGTTACCTACCCCTTAAAGCAGCCCTGGGCATTGGGATAATCATTCTAAAGACTAATAAACCATACCCCTCTTCTTGCTCTTGTTTTTTGTTTTGGTTTTTTTTTCCTTTATCACCTTCTTCCGTCGTATTCTGCTTCTTCTTCTTCTTCCCTCTTCTTCTCATTTTCCCTGCAGTTCATTTCCTGCCCTGTTTCTTTATCTCTTCTTCTCCCAGTGCAACGTTCCTTCCCTAGCTGTTATGAAGATGTGTGATAATGCAGTAAACTGGAGCTGGATCCCCTTCCCTGCTCCTATCTTCCACTCCTTGTGCTGCCTTCCCAGGTCCTTTGGCACTTATCAGATGGGGGGGGAGTAGAAGCAAAGGAAGTATCACGCTACGAGGCGAATGCCACCTTGACCCTTCCTATTTCAGTACATCTTTAACTGTCAAGTATTAGACAAATGCCTAATGGCTAGGAATGACTATTCAACCTCTTAACTTTGCGAGGGTTGAATGCGTGTAATTAAGTCTTTCTCTGAAGCACTTGATTTAAAATGGAACTTACTGCTCTCCCCAGACCTTCCTCGCTCCTGAAAACATGTTGCAAAATGTTGTTTCTCTTTCCCCTTTTTCCTTTCTGGGGGTTTCTAGACTCTCCTTGGCATTAGTTATGGTCCCAGTGCAAACTTGGTGAAGCGCAGAACCAGCCACGGAAGCATATTCAGTTTCCGACTCCGTGGCAGAGACACTGGCTCCGAGACAGATTTTGCCGATGATGAGATCAGCACTGCTGGGGAAAATGAAAGCCACCGGGGCTCTCTCTTAATTCCAAGATCTGGGAGGCGTCTGAGCGTGCAAAGTCAAGTGAGCCATAGTTCTCACCCTACTACTCCCAACTACACCCAGATGGGCAAAAGGAACAGCTCAGTGGATTGCAATGGTGTGGTTTCCCTGATAGGAGGAGGCACCGGGGCACTCAACCCAGACCCTACTTCTCCTGCAGGGTTACTGCTCCCCCCAGTTATTATGGAAAAACCTGGGACAGGCGACCTGGTGAGTACTTTATAACTTTTGTATGTGATTCACGCTCTTGTTTCCTTCTAAATGTTGTTGGAGTTTGCCGTAATTGATTGACACGATATGCAATCTGCAGTGAGAAACCCAGATCCGTCATCTGAGGCAGGGTGGGAAGACAACGGGCTGACTCCGGCAGCAATGTGTGTCTAGTGCTGCATAAGAGAGGTTCATGACTTCTGGTGAGACTTACTCTTCAGAGCTGGCTGGAGGCAAATACCTAAATCTTGGGTTTGATACGAATTTTCTTTTCTTGTAGGGACATTTTTTAGGTTGGTTTCTTCTGACATTTGAGTGTCTGACATTGTCCGGTTGCTAGAAAACGATGTTTTTAAAATTATTTGCTGTGAGTCTTACCATCTTGACACTGCGTTTTCTTCCACTGGTTTCTATCTTTTTGCATCTAACTCTGCTCTTATATATAGCTACTTGTGGAGGGCTGTTCTTACAGTCCAAAGGTAGTTCCCAGAAGGTTTAGCACCCGGTTCAAATAACACCCAGGAAAGATGAGCAGATGATCAACAGACTTCAAGCCCTTTACAGATTGCCAGAATCTTTGTTGCAAAGCACCACTGCTGAAAAATACTTAAGAAGGCTGTAAAGAAAGCTGTTAAGGCTGATTAGGACCCAACCATGAATTCACTTGGAAAACCATGAGATGGTGTTTGTAAATAGCTGCTACACAGGCAGGACAATTTGGACAGGTTGGCAGTTTGATATGGTGGGAATTTATCTCTTCATGTAGGTAGTCTACACTGGACATCATTACTCTCAACAGTCTTTAAAGCGAAAGAGGTCCAGTCACTACAGTCAGTGTGGGCAGGGTTTATTTCATCTTACAGATCTAAAATGGGTCCAAATAATCTCGCTCCCTAAAGTGCCTCTTTCTGTTCACTTTAACTACAAGGGGAGCCCAAGGTGAATGACTCTGCATTGGGCATGTCTTAAATCAGGTGGGATGAAACCCACTCAGAAGAACAAGGTGCCGGAAACGGGTTACATTGGTGGGGAAATAAGCAAATGTGATTCTAACATGTATTAGGCAAGGTATTTCCTGAAGACAAAGGCGAGTGAGATGGATCCCAGCTGTGGTGTCATATTATCAGTAAATTGAGAAGTACCTTTTTTTTTTTTTTCTCTAGAGCCAGGCAGCTTCTTCCCTTTCAAGCTTCGGATTGAATTTTTTTCCTCACCTATCCAGGCATTCCCTGTAGTCCTGCAAATATACTCTCACACCGTACGTGAGAGGAGGGGCCGTGCTGTGCGTGGGAAGCTGGGTGGTGTGAGAATTATCTGTTTTGTTGACAGTTTGGAGTCGGTTGCTGCTTTTTCAGACGTTCACACCTCCGTTCATTTAGGACTTTGGTACTCCCATTTTTACTCTCTGCAGACAAGAACGACCAGTCCCGAGAGCAGCCTCTAGACAGCTGAGCAACAGAAACACTGTTTGTAGATCATGGGGTTTTATCAGACTTAGCTTGGTGCAAAAAAAGCTGTGCATTAAGGGAAAGAATTTGCTCATCTGTTTAAAAAAACCCATCTGAACCAAAGTAGAAATGCTTCAGTAGATGAGCAGTGGATGTCCCCCTTTTCTTTGTAAGAAAAGCAGCTCTGCGGGCTGCTGAGGCTCTCCCAGCTGTCAGAAAAAGCTTAACAAAGCGTGAGAGCACTCAACCTTTCACAGGAAATATTGGTATTTTACAGGATTGGGCCCTGAGGTGACAGGGAGGCTTTGAGCTCTGCTGGCATTTCTTTTCATTTGCCAGCTTCCTGCCTTTTAAAAAAAATGGATGTTGAAAATTAAATGGCCTGGGCGGGTGAGCTCGCTTGGCAGTTCCCTGGTCATCTAGGAAATAACACCCAGGCACTATAGTAACAGATGCTCATTCAGTGATGCAATGTGAAGGATGGTGCGTCTTCTGCAAAACAGGTTTGGTATCTAATCTATCCAGAAAATGTGAGCTGGAGTTAAAAGCTAATTGGCAAGAAGCCCATTGCTGTACAGATGTATTCGCTACAGGAACCATAAACGCTGGGCACAAACGTGCAGCCTCAGCTGCGGAGCGCAGGCAAAAGGGAATAGCAAATCCAACACCTCAGTGTGCTGGGAGATAAATCTACACACTTCTGGGCCTTGTGTTTGATTTTTTTTCACCTTTTTCTTGTTAAAATCTGAAGCTGAGTTTGTTCTTTGTTAGCAGCTCTGGCCTCTTTTTATAGTCTCTTGATATGTTTGGGGGAGGCAAAAGAAAGAATGAAAGAATGTTGCAGGGTGAAGTTGAAGTTACCTCATTAACCCCAGTTGACCCTGCGGTTGTTATTTATTTTGTGCGAGTGTAAGCCCATGGTGAAAAAGGACCCACTTGTGCTATCTGTTGTATCTTCCGTGAACAAAAAATGAAGGACCAGCCCATGAAAAGGCATCACTGTAATATGCATTAAGCCTTGACTTGCAGCTTCCTGAGGTGTAAGTGTGGCTTCACTGATGTAAGTGCAACATCTGAGGTGATGGAGATGCCAAAACATGTTTTACAGCATTAGGTTTTGAAGATGCATTTGTTTAGGTCCCTCTGTGATGCTTCAGTAGTATCAGATGAGCGTAACACAAACCTGGCTGATTGCTGCTGAGAGGGGGAGACCGCTGAATTCTAGTTTGCGGAAAGCTCGGAAAAGCCCTTCTGATTTAAAAGGCAGAGTAAACATCAAACAAGACCTGACCATCTCTGGTTGTGAGTTTCCGACCCGCAGCCCTTGCCAACCCCATAGTTTCAGCAGATGATTTCAAACTGGGCCCTCCTAAGGTTTTGCAGGGAAAACACAAAAAGTCACATGCCACTTCAGAGAATTTTAGCCTGATCAGTTTTATCAACATTCAGATTTTACCCCAGGAAAAGTAGTTGGGACCACAATGAAAAAATTTCCTATATATTTGTCCCACCTAAGGCCTGTTTGCCCATGGGAACGGCTGTGGGTGGCAGCTGAGCCAACATGAAGGCATCCATCCTGCTTATTCCCTTTCCCATGAGGGAGGCGGCTGCAGCAGATCATCCCACTGTTCAGGCTGGTGACCCAGAAGAGTGGGCTCCTAACACTTGGCTGAAGAAGAGCATGTAAGCTAAAAAGTCCAGTTTCATATGCTCTTCAGATAGCCCTGGCTGCTTGGCATGGACAGTTGTGAGTGTGCTTCTGTGAGAAACCAAGTGTGCTTCCACTTTCAATCTCCCTAATCCCTAAATACTAAATGAAACAGGAGAGATTTCAAATAATCTCAATGGATGGTGCTTAGACCCATCAGTCTTGTCAGCTGGGGTAGTCTGACTGGTCAGCAAGCTCACTGGCCATGGATGGCACGGTCCATGCAGAATGGCATCTGGCCATGCAGTCACCAGGGGCTTCAATGCACAGCCTGAGCAAGAGGGACATCCTCTCCTCTGCAGCAATCCCATGTGTCTCTGCACACTTTGCTACACCCATTGATGTTCCATGCCACACAAGACCACCCATAAGGAGCGGTGGAAGCATTGCTGGGGAGCTGCCCTTGGCAGCACAGAGGGTTGCGCTGCAGTGTTCAAGCTAGGAAGCCCACTGAGGTTGTATGAAGAGCAAAGTGATGCAGTTTGAAAGTATGATCTACAAATACCCCCACAGAGGTGGCTCTAAGTCAGGCAGCCTACGCCTGGACGTGAAGGGCAACAGGCGTTCAAGTCTGAGGAATGCAGGGAGCTTGTCCCAAGAATCCCCTGTTAAGGCCTAGTCACTCTCCTGGAAATCTCCGGTGTATCCTGCAGAGGATTGAATCAGAGCTGGTCCTGTTCTCCCACCAGCTTTCTTCAAGTGGTGCAGCTACTGATTTTATCAAAGTTACCCCAGTGTAAATAAGACACAAGCAGGACCTGGTGACTATGCTTAAAGTCCTAATTTGGTTTTTTGTTTTTCTGAGATGTTTGAAAAATGATAGGTTTTTATGTTTCTGATGGTTTTGGGCTGGGAGTTTGGGCTTTCTCCTCTTTCAGAGAAAGTCTATACGTCACCTAAGTAACTTCAGGGCACACTACAAACTAAAGTTTCTGTGCATTCTTGTAGTATTTGTTTGTAGCTATGTATTGCTCTGTTGTGCCTTGGTGTTTCTTAGTTAAGAGATTAGAATAACATCTCCCTTCAACGAGGTATTGATCTGTTTGAACAGAATTGGCTTAAGTTAATGAGCTGTTATCTGGAGCTCAATATATGCATGGGATCTGAGGAGGATGAATAAGATGTTGCCTGTGGTTTTCAACAATTTCTTGAGGGTTAAAAAATACACATGACAGCATCCCCTCTTGCCTCCTAAAGGCAACTGGAGCTCTTTCTGTATCTCTGCAGGGATATCATAGGGGTTTTTTTTGTTTAGCCTGACATTCCGGTTATTTTGGAGATTAGAAGTGGCAGAGAAATGGACACAGGACTGAGGAGGTGGCTGTTTGCAAGTGGGCAGCTGGCTGCTGCTCTCCATTTTCTTGTCCTCACTCACTCACCAGAGCTTCCCATCAGCCCAGCAGCAGAGCAGGGCCAGCCATGACTTGGCTTTGGAATGAGCAGCGAGGTGGAGGCTGGAGCTACCTGGGGTCTCCCTCTTGCACGTACAACCTTTGCTGAATTTCCTCTTGGTTGCACATATTGTTTTTTTCTTCTAGGAAACTAGAAATGGTGAGTATCGCTAGCTTGACAGGAGTGAAAGCTACAGGGGAATAAGCCCTTAAGAAAGGCCAGACTGCTTATCAGGGTGCCGAACTAAAGATCTAGAAGCTTATCTTTAGATAAACTTTTTTTTGTCTTTCTTACACAAAAAAAAAGGACCTTGGCTTTTGCTCTCGCTAGGCATAAAACTGTTTTGCTGACCACATCAGTTTGAGGTTTTCTTGTTGACCCTAAAACCACCTCGAGGTAAAATTTCTTTTTTCCCCTTCTTGCTTTGCCATGGGACTGGTGAAAAGGCAAAGTGTTGGCAGATTCCATGTTCAGAAAAAGGTCAACAAAATAAGTCATCAAAAAATCGCCGCCAACAAGTCATTTGGATGAAAACTAGCTAGCCCTCTGCCACTGTCACGCAGAGAGTTGTCTCTGTGCCCCTAGTTTCTGCTCTTTTCAAACTTCGCTTTAGCACATCCTAAACATAAATCATTCAGATTTGACACACATATTGCAAGCTCTTTCAGTTTACAGTGCACCTCTACATAGTCAAGTAGCCACAGAATTAAATGCCTTCTTTTTAATGCTGTGCGCTATTATGGTCACCTTCAATCTCATTAAATATTTGTGCTGGTGCCTTACTGGGTCCATTGTTAATAGTGTGGCCTGTCCACCTCTTTTTATGCTTGAAAAGCTTTTTACTGTACAAGGAAAATTAAACCTGTTCCAGTTCCCAGATGTGGTCTTTAAAATGCTCCCGTGAATAAGCCCATCTTCACATAACAGTTTTGACATAACTCAGAACTGTAGGCACTCAGAAGAAAATAATTCTGCAACATTATGCATCCTCATTTACATGTAAATTACTGAGTAGTATATTTGTCCCTATAGGATTTAGCTAATCCAAAGGAGATACATTTCCAGTCAATCAGGGGGGCAACACAAATAAACTTGTCCTGTTGGAGGTGCCCGAGTTTAACTCCGTTGTGATTTCTCATCTGGATCCTAAGGAGATGCCTTGCATAACTGTAGGGACTGTTATTTTTGCTTAATTTCTATAGAAATACAAGTGTGATGAACAACTGTGCCCGTGTGTGTTCTCTCTGTAATGATAATGGCCTTTATGCTGCCTTGTTTGTCCAGTTCCTGGAACTGCTCTCTATCTCCAAGTGCAAAGCCTGCCAGTTCCTTGTGTGACTATTAGCTAACTCCATTCTAAAATAAATAATTTTAAAAAACCCCTCACATATCTATTCTTTACAAAGAACAAAAGCTCATAAACTTGCCTAAGTAACTTCAGTAATTTTAAGCAATTCACCTGGATGGAAACTTTCTTTCCTGGAAAAAATACTTTATAGTAAATTGCAAGCTGACTATGCGATAGATTTATTGCTCTGTTGGTAAAGAGACCACATCCTCCTGCAAGAGCACAGGAGTGTTCCTTGCACCTGGACATTGCCTGCCAGACACTCTGTCCTGGCTCTGGGGGTGAACCTCCTCTGTGCGGCGGGGCGGGTGGGCGGCTGTCACGAGCAGCAGCATTTGCTCTGAACGCAGGCCAGCGGCAAATTGCACCACCTCACCCCTCCAGAGATGAAGGACAGAAGGATCCTTCTGACTCCTTCAGAAACACCCCTTTGCATGCGGAGGACGGCAGGCTGCAAACTCCCCTTGACTCCAGGAGGACCCCTGAGGTCTTGGGGACCACTTCTCGTGACACAGGTGGCAGGATTGAGGATGCTGGGCTGGAAAGAAAAGTAGAATGACCAAAAAAAACTTGCTGGATTAGGAATATCACATCAAACCTAGGGAAAAAGTCAGTTCCCTGCTATTTTTTTTTTTTTTATGAAGGATATGCCAAACCTGTTTAACTTGGACTTTTCATTTACCCTGGTTTAGCTGAATCAAAAAAATAGGAAGAATGAATCTCTGAATGTTTTTCTTATGCCTTTTTATATCTGGAGTGAATTCTCTTTGCACCTGTGAGAAAAAGGTGGCTTTCAGGTAAAGTCCACCAACCCATAACTTGTGCAAGCCCTTCTGCATGCATAAATGGGAATATGATATCTTTCCTGACAGTCAGAAAACCGGTAATTCTGGAGATGAGGTTGTCTAAAGAAATTCTACTGGGATGACCTAAGCTTTGGGTCAGGGGGAATGTGAAGGTGGTACAATTTAAGAAGAACTAGATGATCCAGAGAAATCTGAAATTTGAGATTTTCTTATGGTTCATTCTACAGACAGACGGAACTGGAAGATTGGGGGGTTTATTTGGTTGGTTTATTTTTTTTTTTCCTTTTTTCTTTGCTTTTACTTTTTTAGTTTATTCTACTTAGAAATTTGTCTCCCTCATGTTTTTAATCTCCTTGTCTAGTTATTTCCTTTCAGTCCCATGCATTTGTTACGTACTCCGAACTGGTGCAAATGATTATGCGATTTTGTAGATGCTTTCTTTCGTCGTTAATAAAACATTTGTTGTTTCTATGTTTTTTATCGAATGTTTTTGAGGGGAAGGGAATCAAGCAAACGAGTGCTTCTGAAATACCCGTCTTGGTTTCCCCAGCTCCTAAGCCAAGGGCAGAGTGTTTTCTTGTTATGTCGTGCACAAGTAGGAGTCTCTTTGAATAGGTTTTGATTACATCTCTCCTTTGGAGATGACTGCATCCGTAGCTCAATGGACAATGAGCCAATTGTTTTAGCAAAAGACAACACTTTATAAAAAAAAAAAAAAAAAGCCATTTTGAAGCATTACTGCTTCCCTGGCTTAGCTAATGTTTTAAGTGCTTACTTTAAAACTCTCTATGCTTCTCTGGTCTTGCAGTGATTGGTATTTTTAACTGCAGTACTTTGAAGTGACCTGGGACCAGGATTCTGGCTATTTTCAGTGTCAGCCAGTGGCCAACTGGATTTATCCTTTGCAACCACCTGCCAAGGGGATGTCCCCTGCCCTGAAGAGGTCACACTCCAAAAAGACAGCTTGTAGAGCTTCAGCAGTTTTCTGCTGCCATTTTCATGGAATTGCCTTTCTTGAAGAGCAGCTTGGATTGAGAAATGGCTAAGAGGAGGGATCCTGGGTCCCTCTGGGTGCATGTCCCAAGCACAGACAGTTGGATGCCTTTGTTGGTGTCCTGGGTGCTGCTCGGGGTGGTTAGGGCCATTTCAGACCCAAGTGATGAGAGAAGATCTGGAAGACTGAGTCCAGTTCCTGTAGCTCATTTGACTATGGAGAAGCAAAAGCAGCTACTTTGACATCTGTATAAACCAGAGGTTTCCATCTTCATAGGCATCTCTTCTCCTTTCACATTTCTTTGAGCCATCAGGACCCATCTATCTACAGTGCCTCTCTCTTGCTTACATAACATCTTGGAGCTCACAGTCTGTATGCTTGGAGAAGCAGGACAGGGGCTTTTACAACATTTCTTTTGGAAGACTGAGTGTCTCAACTGGGAGGTCTGAGGTGGAGAATGGCATTGAACTTGACTTTCCCAGATCCTTACACCCTTGATCACCATATTTCCTTCTACCTGTGGGAGAGCTGAAGGAGTAAAGCAAGCAGAATCTGTCTCCGTATGAAATGGGAGCTTGTAATAATAAAAGTCTTAACATCTTGCTCATGTGAGCTGACAATATGAAGTATTTAATACAGTGTGTGTCTGCAGCTGGGCTGTGTTTCTGGCTGACTTCAGAAACCCAAGCCTTCAAAAATTGTAAAACTAATTTAAAATGAAACATTAAATAAAGACAGTTTGGGAGTTCTGTTTTTCTGGTATTTTATTTCTTCGGGTTTTTTTTTTTTAAGCTTTTACTTGAGAAACATGAGAAGTAGATAGTTTGGGTTATTTTTTTATTTTTCCTGAGAAAAAAAGAAGCTGAGATTCTCCCCTAATTACAGAGCTTCAGAATCTGTGACACCAAAGATCACCAGAATGACAATATGTTCCTGAGATTTGGCAGTGTTTCAGAACAAGAAAAAACATGTGTTGAGGAGTCAGTTTGCTTGGTATGGTATCAGAGGCCTGTAATGGAGCTGTTACCCACGCCCCTTTTCCTCTTCTAGCAGTATAATTAAACAGTTAACACATTTCAGAAATAATGGAATAATTAATGTAATTAAGCAGGGTTTCTTTCACAAGCAAAGAGCATGGTAAAGCAGCACTGCTGTTTCTCCAGCATCAGAAGCATCCCTTTATTTTCACCTGCATCTTTCACCTGTTTACATGAAGGTAAAGGGCAGGGCAAAGTTTCCAAAATTTCTCAAAGTACCGTTTTCAAAAGCAGGACCCCATCAGCATGTGTCTAACTGGGAAAGCAGTGAGCTTTGGACTTCTCAGATGGGAAAACCAGTGCTTAGGCAATTTTAAAAATGCTACCCTGTATCTGCCTCGGTTTTATTCTGCTGATCCAATGTGTTCATTTAAGCAGACCTCTCCCTCGGACGAGGCAAGCAAGAAGCAGCTTTTAATGCCCCACCGCCCGTCGGTGGACCACTCGGACGAACCCTTTCAGAGGCAGAGGGCAGTGAGCGCTGTCAGCATCATCACCAGTGCCCTGGAAGGTAAGACACGTCTTTAGTTCCTCAACTCAAAGCCATACGCCCTTTGACTGGCAGCAACAAATTGACACAAAAGACCCAAATATTAAACTCTCGTTGTTTTGCAAGAAGTAGTGGACAGGTACGGTTGGACTCCATGACCTGAAGGGTCTTTTCCAACCAAATGATTCTATGATTCTACCTCTTTCAGCAGCAACCTGGACTTAAAGGGGCTTGTGTCGGGTGTGGAGCCTCAGAAAAAAGTGTTACACATCTGATGTGTGTTCATCATGAAGGTCTCAGAATTAGTAACACTGGAATAAGCAGGGTTGGTTGGAAGTGCTTATGAGTACGGAGATAGGCAGATGTGTTTCTTCTAGATTTACCTGAAAAAATAGATCCTTTAGGAAGTGGCTGCCTCAAAGTCCTTATTACTTTGAGGTGGGTTTCCAAAAAAATTACAAAATTAGAATTTTGCATTGAAATAGTTTGAGGTACGGTTAGTTCTCAACATCATTTTAGGCACTTACCTGTAAACCCTCTGTTTGGAGGCTGGAAAGACATAGTTATTTCTTGGGAGCTAATTTGGTTTCCCAGAGGTCTCATAGCAGTGCAAATGCTTGTGCAAAACCTGTGCAGGGAGGACATCGTCCGATACTTTGAAAGCTTGCCAGAAGACACCTAATACCGCAGTTCTGTTGTCCAATGAAGGAAAATGCATCCTGGCTTGAGAGAGGAGGCTGATTATAAACTGATTGAAATAACAGCCTTGGCTGAAGTTTTCCTGTTATCAGTGCAGGTTCTAATTATATAGACTAAAACCGTTATGCAGCATTCCATGCCCATAAAGGAATCAGAAAAGGAAAGCATTAAGCAATTCCACTAATCATTATCATTCAGCCATTAACTGTCTTTTCTGGCTTTTCTTTTTCACCGTTTAACACAAATTATACTTATGAAGCTCTTTCACTTCTTTTATGCTCAAATGAAATGAAAATACAAAAGTTGTACTTTAGGTAATATTTTAAAAGCACCTTTAAAAAGCACATGGGAGCTTTAGCAGCGTTTTCAAACTGACTTATGCACTCCCCTGATTTTGTATGTGGGCCTTTCAGAAGAAAACAGATGCTTAATGCCTTTTTGGATTGCACATCAAGAACAGAAACCTTATTGATAACCAGTGATACTCTGGCTCTCAAGCGCTTAAATCAGCTCCAAATATTGGATTTAAGCTCTTTCATCTCTTAACAGCTTTAAAAGGTATTACTTAAGGTGCTTCTAACATGGGATGTGGGAATGGAAAAAGTGTCTTCCAATCTAAGTTAAATGAAGCTAGTGTTTTCTGATCTATTTGAACTTGCCAAAGTGGAAAACAGAGTAAAAAGCTGAGCCTATTTATAATACTAGACTTCACATATTTGGTGTGATTCTCCATTTTTGCTTGTGACACGTTTAAAAGGTTATTACTTTCCGAATAGGTCACTGTCTGCTAAGTGCAGGTCAACTGGCAAAAAACCCAAAGCGCGTAATTTGCCAGCCTGTTAGGACAGAAATATTTTTATCCTAAAAAAAAGATTTGGGGTAATTCAGGGGCCTTCCTCTATGTTATGAGTCATTTTAAGTGTTTTCTTGTCATATAACTCAGTGTGAATTGACTGTTACTTTACTGCTTGTGACTTAGAGCTTGAGGAATCACACCAGAAATGTCCTCCCTGCTGGAACCACTTTGCTGTTAAATTTCTCATTTGGGATTGCTGCCCGCTTTGGCTTTTAATCAAGAAATTTGTCAAGTTCGTCGTAATGGACCCATTTACCGACCTCACCATCACCCTTTGCATTGTGCTGAACACGCTCTTCATGGCCTTGGAGCATTATAAGATGACGAAGGAGTTTGACCACATGCTTTACATCGGTAATTTGGTAAGTGAACGTGAACTTGAAGTGCTACCTGAGGAGCCTATTTCCTGCTTTTTTAAAAAGTTTGGGCTGTGGCTTAGGAAGACCCCGTTCTGAGATGCCATCAGCCTCGCTTTGCATAACACGCATCAAGAGAGTCCACATAGTCACCTCTTTCTGGGGGCGAAGGGAAATGAATGAAGGACAAGGGTCTATTTTTATTAAACGGACATACTCCAATGTTGTTAGTAACCATTAAAGCCATGTTTCTGGGCTGTTCCCGATAGGTTTCTAGTTTGTATCAGTTTAAGAAAATGAGATTAGAGCGAGGTTAATGAGGTTTATTTGAGATTTCTTTTAAAGCAATGATCAGGCATCAGTTCTTGGTGACTAATAGTGACTTTTAAGTTAAAAAATATCTACAGATAAAAACCAAGGCAAGCTCTTGGAGGGAAATAGAGTGGTGTGTGAGCGTATCTAGATAAGAATGCAGGAAGGTGCTTATGGTACATTTGTTGTATGCCCCTCCATGTCCTGCTGTGCCACCCCGCCTTGTCCAGCTGTGTGTGCTGGGGTCCCATGCAAACCCCAGGGCAGAGGGGACATGGAGCAAAGCGTGGCTGATGCTTCAAGGGGAAATTCGTAATGTGCAAAGCTGGAGCAGCCAGAGAGCGAGCTGCAAAGTAAGCAGAGACAGCTCTTCTCTGAGGAAAAGCAGAGTGACAGATCTACAGCCAAGCTGCAGGGACAGCAGAAAAGCCTTTCCAGAGGCAATGTGGTACAATTTGTTAACCCAGGGGGCCAGTACCATTCTGCAGTTACTACAAAACAGAAGCTTTTTCTTTAATTGTCTTTCTCTGTGCTTATGTTTAAAAGTTACTGCATTTTACTGCTTTAAAACTTAATGTTTAAAACCCTTTTAATTTTAGAATAATCTGTATTGGAAAAGGCACATGCCATTTAGCTGTGGCATGATAGGATTGCCCCTAAAATCTAGTGGTAGAAGCAGAGATACCCTACAGGATGCCATGAGTAAGTCTGGAGTACCCTGGAACATAGTTGCTGCTAAGTTTGAATTTGAGAAGTTCATAGCAGAGATGAAAAAAGCCCTTTATTTCTATAAAACCGAAGGCTGCAGTAACTCAAAGTGCAATTCACCTTGCCTAACTAGGTATTTACAGCGTAGGAGTCTGTCAGAGCTGGTTGCCTCTATCTCCCTTTAAAGGTAATGGAGAGTAATGGACAATTTTAAGGCACAATTAATGTAATGTTTTAAAGACGTTTACTTTTGGATAAGGTGAACCATGTCCTGGAGACCAGTGACTGTAGTGACCATTGGCTATAGTGGGAGTATGCAGAGACACTACCGTTGTGATGTCTGCCTTTAGTGAGAAGCATCCTATGCTGGCAGGTTTAGTATGTCCTGGAGGCCAGTGACTGTAGTGACCATTGGCTATAGGGGGAGTATGCAGAGACACTACAGATGTGATGTCTGCTTTTAGTGAGAAGCATCCTATGCTGGCAGGTTTAGGTGGGTAGAATCATAGAATCATAGAATGTTTTGGGTTGGAAGGGACCCCTAGAGGCCATCCAGTCCAACCCCCCTGCAGTGAGCAGGGACACCTTTAACCAGATCAGGTTGCTCACAGCCCTGTCCAACCTGGCCTTGAATGTTTCCAGGGATGGGGCCTCCACCACCTCTCTGGGCAACCCGTTCCAGTGTTTCACTAACCTCATTGTAAAGAATTTCTTCCTTATGTCCAGTCTAAACCTACCCTACTTCAGTTTAAAGCTATTACACCTTGTCCTGTCACAGCTGTCCCTGCTAAAAAGATTGTCCTCACCTTTCCTATAGGCCCCTTTAAGTACTGAAAGGCTGCAATCAGGTCTCCCTGCAGCCTTCTCTTCTCCAGGCTGAACAACCCCAACTCTCTCAGCCTTTAGTAGCAATAATCAGACTTTTTGTATCAGTCCTAGAATATGTGGTAGACCACATATTTTTGTGTTTTTTTTTTTCTTTACCCTGATCCTTCTTACTCTGAGCTCTAGGCCTCCTTGGGCAGGTTGAGGTTCTTCTCCTAGGCTGTGGGACCAGTCTCCTGTTTTTCAGCTGCTGTGTCTTGGCAAATCTCCCTGTGTTGTTGTGCTAAGCAAAAATCTGTTTGGGTCTCTCTTGCTTCAAAGCCGTGCTCTTGCCCTCTGTGGAAAGCAATAGATAAGGGTGGCTCAGAAAGTCATCTCACAGGACTACATCCAGCTCCACTTTGCAGCGAGCCGCCTTTGTTGCTGCTCAACAATTTGTGGCCTTCTGAGATGACTTAAAAAAATGCCTTTGGACCCAGTATCCATCAGAACAGGTGTCAATGCCGCTGTTTCCCCCTCTGGCACTCCGGATAGTAAATGTGTCTGCTCCTTGCTCTGCTTTTGGCAGATCAGCTTCTCTCTTTGCAGACCACAGGCACTGAAACTTTAGCCCATGGCATCCCTCCTGCCAACACGGCTCCTGCAGACCTGCCGGGGATGAGTGGGGCTGTGCTGGGTGCCAACAAGGAATACGATACAATGAGCAGGGGGAGGAACTGCAAAGCAAATTTTGCAAAATTTTGCAAAAAAGAATATAATTACCTCACTGTGAGTTTCTCGGCACTGCCTTGAGCTATTTCTTCTCTTTGTGCTAGAGTGTAAAATAAGCAAAACAGCCTGCTAATATGTTTTGTAGCAGGCTGATGGCACGGGGCTGCCCTTCCCCTGAGATCCCAGGATGGGTCTGTGAGAGGCCAGACCGTCCCAGCTCCCCCTCCCCAGCTTTACTAAATCCCTGCATAACTGGATTGATTGCGAGTAGAGCAGGTCAGAGGAAGGTAATTCCATTTTGTGGAGGATTTTGCAAAGTCATTTGTAATGAAAATTGACATTTTTTGCAATCCCCTGTGAAAGGGAAGGGAGTCCCAGCTCCAGGGCAGCCTGCCAGGTGATTGCATCCCCTAAGCCGCAGACTGCCAGACCCCTCCTCTGCCCCCACGCTGGCTGGCTGGCGTCTTCCCGTTGCACCTAACCCTCTTTGAGTGATGATACTAGCATTACGAGGGGGAAAATATATATAAAGGGCAGATCTTTGGCATTTTTTTTTCCTCAAAACAAATGTTTCTGAGAGAAATGAAAGAATGAAAGCAGAATACGGATTCACTTTCTCCAAGAGCAATTCTTCGTCTGCTGCCAGTCGTCGGCGATCTCCCGCTCTGATTGTCTGTCTAATTGCTGCAGCACCGGTTGCCTTCTGACTCCTTTAGTTCATCACCTACAGGAATCAGCATTTTCAGATGTGATCAGAAGGCCTGCCAAGCACATGGACATCTTTACATGGCTCACCTGCCTACGCAGTGCCACCACTTAAAAAAATTGGTAGATAGAACAAGATCCTCCCAATTTTTGTTTTCCTTTAGAAACTGAGATACCATTATCCAATTAGAGCTTAAATAGCTGAAATGATAGATAACAGATTATTTTTTTTTTTTTAAGACAAAGTCCTCCAAATCAGCAGTGGCATATTTAGCACCAGTGGGATGTTAGGTTGCTTGTTTGCTTTCCAGCCTTTATCGTATTGAGTACCCAGCCTCCTGTACAAGCGCAGGTGCTGGCGACTTGACGACTGCCATTTGAAATTCGTAGCTGGTACACATACGCCATTCCTGATGCCTTTAGGAAGGCTCAGACATTTTGCTATCTTACTGTGACATTTCCTTCTCAGAAGGCTATTGATTAAAATGATTCAGGCAAAGAAAGTGATCCTCCTGAGTCATTTCTCAGCAAGATGGTTGCATAATGTACGCAGTGTGGTATCAGGGTTTTTAAGGCAGTCCCCTGGATACGATTTCACAGATATCCAGTTTTGTCTTGTTCTCTGTCCTAAGGGAAATGGGAGCATTCTGGTGGAATCTTTGGTATCTCTGACCACTGTGACTCAGAAATTGTTGACTAGTAAGAAATATGAGACAGGTTGTTTCATTGGGTTCTTGGTATGAGATGGTGATGGGATGACAGTCCAAATTGTTGCAGCCCAAGGTTTTATTTTCCTGATGAGAAAGAGAAGGGATTTTTATGTAAGGAATTGTGTAAAATGGTCACTTGGAAGAATTCACTCCTGAAACATTACAAAGTAAAGACAAGTGTTCCTCAAATGCAGACTATGATCATTTATTTTTATTTCTTAATATCTTAATTATATAATCTTAACTTTTCCTTTCCACCTCTTAATGGGTTTCTCATCTTTGTTAATTGGAGTTGATCAGTTTTGCTGGGATACTGCCATGAATATTCAGCTTATTGGAAGGAAAACTTTTCCCCCTGACTGTATGGTACCGATATGTGACCTCTGAATTCCCCCAACTTTTCTGACCTACGTAGTGCATTGATGTTGGCTGTTCTGTGGAAAACCATGTCCTTTAATATATAAGTGCAATAGAGAACTTTTCAGATAAACAAAGCTCTGTGCGCCTTGTACTGGGACTTGGAACAAAAATAAAACAGTATACGAAGAACTTGATGCCCACATTTTGTCATTTTAAGTTGACTGTAGCCTGGCATTGTGCATTTAAACTGGTACTTAAGGAGGGCATACGAAAGGACAAGATCTGATTCTCCAAGATACTTTGCAGGAATGTGTTAAAACTGAATTTGCTGTCAGCAGCCTTCCCTTTCCCTCTCCCTCTGCCTCATAGGTAATATTTATATGTTGTTTTAAAGAAAAATGTTCCAATTAGAACTTCCACCATATGACATTTGAACTGGGTCATAAATAAGCAATGTGTTCCCAAGATGCTGTGAAAAGAAAATTGCCGTGACTATTTGTGAAAAAAGACTAGGACTCAAATTAGAATTTCTAATCGCCTTCGCTGCCAGCCATAACCTCAGAATGACTGGAGGCTTGTGTTGCCCCGGTATTGATAAAAATAACAAAAAAAAAAAGGGATAATACAGCAGCTGCACTACAACCCAAATACCCCTTTAACACTCCCACTCCATTAATTTGGGTTTCTCCACTGAAATGAATAGGTTTAACCTTTATAAAAGGCACCTTTACACTTTCCTTTTTACCACTGGGATTATTCAGATGACAGAAGGAGATGGAAATGTATGTTCCAATCCAGAGCATGAATTCAGATGTCATTGCAAGTTTACAGCAGTATCAAATATTATTGTGAAAAGACTAGACAAAGTTGTAATAGCGATAAAGAATCAGCCATGAAAAATAAAGCATTTGCCGGTAACAAGGTTTTGGCTTTCCACTGTGTTCACCTGTATCAGCGGGAAGTTTGCAAGCAAGGAGGTGTGCTTAGTAGTTACTCTGACTTCATATTTTCTTTCTGCAGGTCTTCACTGGGATTTTTACAGCAGAAATGATCTTCAAAGTAATTGCCCTTGACCCCTACTACTATTTTCAGCAGGGCTGGAACATTTTTGACAGCATAATTGTCATACTAAGCCTGATGGAACTGGGTTTGTCCAGCATGGGAAACCTGTCTGTTCTACGCTCCTTTCGACTGGTAATGGTCTTATTCTGTTCTTACCCCTCTTCTTGTATTACATATAAACTCTGACATGAATGCAACATATTTTCTTAAAAACGCATCTACCGATAAAGACTTTAATTGCTGCAAACTCCTGAACAGCACATGACACTAATTATAGGCTGCGGGATAAATGGAATTGTTCCAGATTTACATCAGGGTAAATGAGAACATAATTTGATTCCTTCTAGCTGTGCCAGGTACTTGTAACACACTTAAAATGTTTGAGCTCCAATTTGTAATAAAAATCTGCCATTTTATACCTGTACACCTGTTAGCATAGTCAGCAGATAATTGATAGCCCAAGAAATGCAAGAGCCAGTAACTTGTTGGTTTAGAAGCTGTTATTCCTAAATTATGTTATAAACATGCCACCATTCTTTTGAATGTTGTCAAAAGAAAACGTCTTTGAATTATTCACAGAGTGATTTTATTATTTTTTTTTTCTAGAACTGATCAGCATAACATAGCATCTGTCTTTCACGGGAACTCCTTAGCTGTCAGCTCCTTTGTTATGCACAGGATAGTGGTATTCTATTAATGAGAGCCTGTCGACATATTGGAACAGAAAAGTAGTTTCCTTGCCAGCCTGACATTTGTGTTGCACTTCATGTACCAGGATGTCCATGCTAATCATTCTGGCCATGATATGGCTTCACAACTTGGATAGACCAGAAAAATAAGCCCTTATGGTTACATTTAGTGGAAGACTTTTTTTTTCCAAAATTCTCTCTGCACAGATCAAAAATGCAAATTTTTCACCGCTGCTGCTAGGTCCTGAGAGTCACCTGCCAGTTTTTGAGCAATCCCTCTTCAGTAGGGCTGAAATTAAACCTTCGGCTGAAAACACAGCACAAGGGCTGGGAACCATTTATGTCCTTAAAATAGGTCTTAAGTGGGACGTGGGTTGTGCATAGACCGCGTGATCCTCAGCACAGAGGTGATTTTCACCATGGGAGCTAACAGCTAATAACATCTGGCTGAGGCTTTCTCTGAAGCAGAGAGGAATTGCTTCTCTTTTTGTGGGATTGAACCCTAAACCCCTTCCCCCAGATGCCTTCCAGGCTGTTTAATGTGAGGAGGAAAAGCAACGTAAAAGAAAATATTAAGACCTGAGATTTCCTCCTTCCATCCTCTCCCCACCATGATACTGGGGAAATGAGCCTCTAAAAGCACGTCTATCTAACAAGGCAGAGCATAGCTCTGGAAAGGTTAATTCTCATCTGAGAAGCCCAACTGGTGTTTTATTAATAGATGAAGTGAGGTTAACAGGAAGTATGGCTAAAATCACCTTGTACCGCATGGGCTGTGGCATTTAACATCTTTCATGTGTTACCAACTTCAATAATTCATCAGCTGAAATGTCTGTTGCTTCTGTGAACTGACACTGTTGTTTATGTTTTGTTCACAGCTGCGAGTCTTCAAACTGGCGAAGTCCTGGCCGACCCTAAATACGCTCATTAAAATCATTGGTAATTCAGTGGGTGCCCTCGGTAACCTCACTCTTGTGCTGGCAATCATAGTCTTTATTTTTGCTGTGGTAGGAATGCAGCTTTTTGGGAAAAGCTACATGGACAATGTGAAGAAGATAAGTACAACTGGCAATTTGCCACGGTGGCACATGAATGATTTTTTCCACTCGTTCCTCATCATCTTCCGAATTTTGTGTGGGGAGTGGATCGAGACCATGTGGGACTGCATGGAAGTAGCTGGGCAGCCACTGTGCCTTCTTGTCTTCTTGTTGGTCATGGTGATAGGAAACCTGGTGGTGAGTTCTCGAGATGTTTTTTTCTCCCTTTCCTGATGGAACTGTGCAAATGTACCTTTTTTTTTTTTTAATCCAGAAATGGCAAATCTCACATTGCTCCATAGCTTTAATTCGATGAACCAAGTTCAGAGAAACTTGTTCATATCCCAAGTACAAAATTGGTAGCATTGCATTACTGATTAGGAATGAAGGCATACTGCTTTTTGCAGAAGAACAGATAATGTTTTCCTGGAAGAAAGGCACATGGGCGGGTTATAACAATTTTATTCTTTAAGCCACTCATGGGGCTGAAGGGATTCCAGATCTCTTTTCATACAGGAGTGGATATCACCTCAACCGTCACTGTAGCGGGATATATTTTTATTTCCCTTCATTTTTGGTCCAGAACACGTGAACCTTACCGCTAGCACAGTGTCTTTGAGTGGAGTTTCGAATGTCTTTAGCATGCGTGTTCTAGGAAGTTTCAGGTTGTGTTTACAGTAATGTCACTTGCTCGCTTGCTTTTTTAATAGACTATCCCATAAGCATGGCTTACATAAGCTCTGAACCTATTAAGACTGAATTGTATTTCCCTGTTGACATCTTATGGAGTGCTTTGCTGGCTTGCAGTCATCGTGGAAATGTTTCGCCTGTTCAGCTTACAGAGCTTCTTTCACATTGTGGCTCTAATGGGCTTACTGTTTATGTAGTGAGTTGTTTAATAGTAGATGCTGCTATAAAAAAACGTGGGGGTTTGCTACCGATTGCTTTTAGTGGTTGTTTTGCTTTTAAGTACCCAGTGTTTTGGTTCTCAGCTGCTGGGATGTAAAAGTTCTTGAAAGAGCTTGTAGAAAAATAGAGCACATTTTTTTTGTTTACATTAATGTATATTTGCACAGAACATTTTGATTGCAAGAGCAAATCATTATTTTATAGGGTTTTTTTATAGAAGTCAAAAGATTAAGTTATAATTACTCAGAAAGTGGCAGATTACTTATGTTTTTTCCCCCTAACTTTCTGTTTCTAAAGATTTTTCTTGGAACTAAATGTGATTAGAGGGGTTGGGGCAAATGATTACTTTCTGCATATCTTTTTGAGGAGTTTAGCCTGAGATCCAGAGAGTTAATCTCCCCCTGCCATTAAGCAATGGATTCTGTGTATGATAATGAAACCTGAAAATAATATATGATAAATTCTGGGGAAAATGTTAACATTTGAAATATTCATGGATTATTGAAAGATGTGAATTTGCAACATCTGATACCCTTAGATATTAACACTCATCAGTGTGCATAAATTCTGTTAAATATAAAATCTGATTCAGCAGAGATTGCACTAACATTATCTACACATATTTAACCTTCAGTGCTCAAAAAAAACCTGTCCCAGTTGTAAAACCAGATATTGAAAACCTCTGTCGGCCTGGATAAACTGAAGTTACTGGTCAGATGAAAGCAAAAATGCTCACTTTATCCTTTTCATCCAACAATTCCGTAAACATGCGGCAATGACTGGTAAACAGGAATGATTACTGTCTGTAGATCACTCAAAAAAAAAAAAAAAGAGGAAATGATTCATAGGTGTGAAAAGAACAAAAGATTCTGAATCATGAGACTCATCCAGTGTCAACTGCGCTACACGGAGATTTCATGATGTTGATTAGCAGGTAGAGAGAAGGTCATCTTATTCCTCTGGCATCAGCAAAATTCTTGTTTTCTTTAGTGAGAGTGGATTGAATTCACAGACTCACTTATTTGCTGAACATCATCAGACCCAAAAATTCTGGTAGCCAAAAAGCATCCCGAACCCTTTAAAATAGGAAGACTTGAGCCCTAAATCTTTTACCTGTAGCTGGGTTGCAGTCTGTGCCAGCAGAGTTTCTCTTTTAATTTGCTGAGATCCTCATTCCTCCTCCCCATTTCAAGAGTCTGCTCTGATAAGAAAAATATTATCCTGAGGCTGTATCTCATTTGGACTCTGAATTCTTTCTTAGTCTTCGAAGGCATGGAGGCAATCCTGTCTCCTTTTCCCCTGGATGCTCTTCTAGATGAAATGCTTTTATCTGTCACCTAAGCCAGTGCTTATGGTAGTGTCTGTGGTCGCTTTCCCAACTGCAAGGCTAAGCGTTACAGGGCAGACCAGCTCTTTAACTACTGTAAAGTCATGGCTGCAGACTTGTGTTGGAAGAGTTACAACCGCTACGATTCTGTGGTAGGTTCTGTGATTTGGTTTGCAGGTCCTACCGAGCCTCACTAACATAAATTCAAAGGAATGGTGGGAGAAAAAGCAAGGAAAGTTAGTAAGTGCCCTGGGCAGCTTCATGTTCTAGAGCAGTCCAGCTGTTGAAAGGAATTTTAGTAAACCGTAAATCATAGAATCATAGAGTCATAGAATCGTTTAGGTTGGAAAAGACCTTTAAGATCATCAAGTCCAACCTTTAAACCTAACCCTGCCATCCCACCACTAACCATGTCCCTAAGCACCTCATCTACCCTTCTTTTAAATACCTCCAGAGATGGGCACTCGACCACCTCCCTGGGCAGCCCATTCCAGAGCCTGACAACCCTTTCAGTGAAGAAGTTTTTCCTAATGTCTGGCCTAAACCTGCCCTGGTGCAGCTTCAAACCATTCCCCCTCGTCTTCCAGCAATGCAACATCTTTCTTGGAGTGAGGGGCCCAAAACTGAACACAGTATTCAAGGTGCGGCCTCACCAGTGCTGAGAACAGGGGCACGATCACTTCCCTACTCCTGCTCTGGTTTGTATTCATATACCCCGCAAATTAACAAGTGCAGTGCCACATGAAACTATGTTTACTGCTGCCCAGCTGATATTTGAGTCATCTTTAAATAACTAAACTTTACAGCACAGTTGGAAAAATAAGTGCTGTGTAACTACCTTTTGCACAATAATACAGTGCTACTATTGTCAGAAGGCATTTTTAGAAACATTGAAGCCGTTTTGGAAGGTAAAGCCAAACCAGGCAGATAATAAAATAGTTTCTCCCTCATTTGTAAGAAAGAGCTTCTGAAATTGCCAACTGAATAATTATGCTTACTGTTAAGTTTTACAAAGGGCTTAACGTATTGCCTATGTACATTTATGTTACTGAGGTTAATAAGGAAAATCACAGAGATGGGAATTATTAAGAAGATGTAGGGGAATTTGGGTAGTGAGGCAGTCCCTGGTGTCCCCTGCTTTGGCAGGTCAGCCCATGCCAGTCGGGTGTGACACAAGCCACTTCCCAGGGGACAACTGAGCGTAATGGGAGCTAACACCGTGCATGAATAAAACTGACACTTCAATCACAGAAGGAACAACCTTCCAACCTCTTGTGTGTGCATGATGTATGTTGGCCAAGCCACACTTATTCTTCTCCCAGCCACCTGGATGGAGCCTCTTTTCTACCAGCTTCTCCTGAAATGCCACCAAGTGAAGGGCAACGCAGGGCAGGAATGAGCTGTCTGTGCTCATGCTCTGATTTGGCTATGTGTGACATAAACAGCACCCAAAAAGCACTAGTTAGTGTTAACCCAAACTTACAGCTGCCGTGTATTAACTCACCCTCAGGGCTGAGTTTCTGGACTCAGCTCTGCCTGATTTACAGAAACCCCCTGGTACTTCCAAGGCCCATTCCCCACCGTTCCCCAATCCACCACAAGCCAGTAATTCACTGCTGCGTTTCCATGGTGGATTTTGCCTTCCTGGAGTCACAAGCATGCCAAGATATAGAGTCTGTAACCAGGGAAGTGACATCTTCAGAATTTTCCTGAAAGGTGAAATATAAGGCTGTAAGTGCTCTTTTAGGATCAGTCCTAGCCTTTCTTTTTTTTTTTTTTTTATTTTTGTCTACCATCCATGGAAATGCTGTTCACTCAGGAAAATATTAATGATATTTTCTGAGAACACAAAGGTAGAAAGCACCACCAGTTTCTAGGGTATCAGGCTATCCTGTAGGAAGAATTGCATAACCATTATCATTGAATTAATGCATGATGCATGGAATTATGAAATACAAAGTGTAAGGTCATGCACTCAGTTCTGTTTAAGAATTTATGTTATGATAAAGTAGCTTACCAACAGAAAATGTTTGAGACAATAATGAAAATATATGTATCAGTCACTGTGGACATCTACATCTGAGAAAATTCCACTTCAACATGTCCTTCCACAAGTCTCCCTTCCTACCACTAAAAGGTTGTCCTGGGCACCACCAATGCAACCTGGATGGGAATAAATGTCCTAGAAGGAGGAGAAGGGTGCAAGGGATGAAGGACAATTTAGCACAGATTGTGGCTTGATAGATGTGCAAGAGAGAGATTTGGGATGGGGAGGATTTTTTGGGTGAGGAACAGAAGTGACTCCAGGCATATGGAGTCACCATCCCTGGAGGTATTTAAAAGATGTGAAGATGTGGCAATTGGGGATACGGTTTAGTGGTGGAGTCGGCAGGGTTAGGTAATGGTTGGAGTCGATGATCTTAAAGGTCCTTTCCAACCTAAATGATTCTATATGTGAAGCTTCGTGTATGAGAAGAAATTCATAGCAATTTCCCATCCTGAATTGCTTTGCCAAGTGACAGACCCTAAGTAAAATACAGAGTCATTGGGTCACATGTGGCTATCTAATACTTGGTAGCTATGGCTGTAATCCTATGGTTAGGCAAGGTCACTTCCTATGTGTGCCTGCATTTTTTTGTCTGTTTAGATGACTTCTTTTCTTTCCTGCCTATTTTTTTAATGTTAAGAACAAAGTAAAGTCATGTGATAAATGTTTAATTCTGATTAGCTGTATTTAGGTTTTTTTTTCTTTTTCTCCTTTATTTGCTAATGTCTCCTTTAGCTTGGTGTTTGCAGTCAAGCAAGCAACAAAAACTTTGAAAAAGAGGTAGCTGTGGTGTATAGTATATAAACCTGTAAGACAGGGCTACTATTTGGATTGTATGGTCTTTGGCACGGGAGAATTGTTTCTGCATAAAACCATTTCCTAGAGTTAATTGCTGAGTGTTACCACCTGAGCATC